CTTTGAAGATAGAAAGGGAGGTTTCTGACGAGAATGAAGCCATGGACACAATGGTGGATCTGCTTAGTGATCTCGGCTTTGTTGACAGCAAAAAGGCGGCTCGTGATTTGATGAATAATTTGGTGTCGTCTACTGATGACTTGAACAAAGTTGCCGATAACATCAAGAGACGCGTTGAAGACCAGCAACGCGAAGATGCCTATTCCAAGGCTGATGAGTGTGTCATGGCCGACAAGAAGCCGGGAGAGCATCTTGCTCAGCTTCTCAACGACTATGGTTTCGTTGTCGATGAAGATAGTGCCAACAAGCTTGTTGCTGCTCTGGAAGCTACTGATCAGGACTTGAATAGAATTCTCTTCCACTTCATTCACGGTCCTTCTAAGCCCGTCAACGACAAGCCGTTGCCGACTCCCGAGGAGAGACAAGCTATGGATGATGCTGCTGCTATGAGAGGTGTGAAAGAGGAAGTGAAGGAGTATGAGCAGAAGCAGAAGAAGGCTGGTAAGAAGTTGCAGGCAGCAGAACCTCGATGGGGTTGGGCTGGTCCTAAACACCCTCGTGATCCCAAGGCTGATAAGATTGATCTACTGGGTTGATTTAATCAGCAGTTTGAAGATATAAATATTATTATAGTTGCACAATATTGAGTTGCTGCTCATTTGAGCGCTAATTTCAGTTGAAGCCAATATTTCAAGACTCCATTTGAGAAGCCTAGGCGTTTCATTCAAAGTTTGTGGGTTTGTGTTTTAAAATGGACTGTTTTACGGAGTAGAAGTGTTCGGGCCTTGTGTGCCAAGTTGAAGACATTCTGAGAGTAATTACGATAAGCTTTGTTACCTGTGAGATCTCCTCCATTGAATGTGGATGTAAAACAATATTTGAATATCAATCCTTTTCCTATATGCATCGATGAGGATTTGTAAAGAATTGATTCATTTCATACAAGGACAAATTTCAGCTTTGTTTCGCTGTCCAATCTACGAAATTAGGTTTTGTAAAAGGACAAGTTTAACAACTTCAAAACACAAT